TTAAGGAGTATTCTTTATCACATAAGAGAATTAATCTCCTTTAAAAGGTTGATAGGCATCAAATAAATAAACATTTTTTTTAATCTATATTTTCTACATATGATAATTTAAATATATATACTTATTTTATTAGAATATAATTTTTATTTTTTAAAATATATTATTTTTTAAAATAAAAAATTATATATGTGTCAAATAGTAGTGGGGGCAAGTGCCCCCACTCTGTATAATGTGGATCCGTCCCTGCTTATAATTGCAACACCTCCGCCATTTGATAACACTGCCACCAAGTGGTAGAGGTAAACATTGTTTAGAAACCTTAAGGATGACTTCATGTATAGTAATCTACTGTGGATTCTACTTGTTGATTTTTGAATCATTTGTAACCTTCATATAATGTACAGACTTAATATGGAGTGGATTAATTGAGAAATATCGAGATTTATATTAGAGTTGAGGAACTTTAGTTATAAAATAGTCGAGGTTAATGTTCAAAAAGATAAAACAAACTTTCTTTTTGTATGGATGAGGGCTCAGATTAATGTTGTTGGCAATGTGGCATCTCTGGTTAAGTGATTGAGAAGATTTTTTTTTCTTAGCATTTGTTGGAACAAAAGGGTATTTGCTTGCAAGGATGAATAGGAGACAGTGCTGATAGGAACAGTTAGGTTTAGATTAAGGGGGGAAATAAGGGTAGAAACAGGGGCATTTAGGAAATTGTATTTTGTGAACTGGGCAAGTGCTCGGTTATAAAAGGGGACTCCCTTTATGTTATTTGTGATTATGTATTAGAATATATTATCACTTAGAATTACTTTTCACATTTCCTTATCATCTCACAATTTGTTTCCTTATTTAGTTAGGATTATGATCTTAGAATAATATAAATAAGGGCTAGTTCTTTATGTTTTGTATCACATTGCATGGTGATCACAACAGTTTTATCTCTTTAAGTGAGGTTGACGATGTGGATCACATGATATCGTGGGGCTCAATTAACTCAAAAACCAAATTCTCAGTGATATTATTCACTATTGAATCCCTTCAATAATTTCCTCCAATCTCCTCTTTTTACCAGACTGGCAATCATGCTATACTCTCTTCACTGGTGCCCCCAACTATCAACATTCACTGTCATATAGCTGGTTGTATAGTAGAATGATAAAATTTTCCTCGAGATTTTGATTTCTTTCTCCATTTCAACCACCCAGTATGTGTCATGTGCTTGACGTCTTAATTTCCCATTTTTTGTACTATTGATTTCAAATACTTCGAAACTCGTGGTATGACATATCCTATTTTTACCTCCAACGCATTTTTCCTCATGTCTCTTGCTAAAATTATAATGTATATAGTCTGACCTTGCTCTTACTCAAGTGAAAGCCCTTTGATCCTAAAATATGTCTTCAAAGCTCAAGTTTAGAGTTAATCTCTTTTGATTCCTCAATCACCACTATATCATCTGCAAATAACATGCATCTAGGGATAGCCGTTCCGTTGAGCACATCCAAGAATAAATTAAACAAGGACTCAAGGCTGAGCCTGATGTAAACTTATCCTTATAAAAAAGTTCTTAGTTTCTCTATGGTACTCAATCATGTCTTTTCCAAGACAATAAAAATCATATGCAAGTTTTTGTTTTGTTTTGTTTGTTTGTTTGTTTGTTTTTTTTTTTTTTTTTTGTTTCAGTACCTTCCCATTATGATGTGGTCCACTAATAAGGATTATCGTATCTCTTTATTTAAATCTTGATTTATTTTAGTTTATCTTTTTTTAATAAGATTTAGCTATCAGAATATCTGATTTCAGATCCTTATTTTATTAATTAGGATATTATATGATCCTATTAATTAGGGATCACTTTTTTTTTATTATCTATTAGGATAATTGTTACTTATGATCTTATTAATTAGGGATATCTTGGTAACCATTTTAAAGGTCAGACTTTATTGGAATATCATCAATGAGAAATAATTTTCATAAAAAGATGTGTTAGTGTAAGAGGGGCTCTGTAAACTGTCAAGGGCGAGTCTGCTTCTTGCTTTCACCATAGGTTGAAAGCAGGATTATTCCATGTCTGTACCCTTGACTCAATCCTATTTGAAGGTTTGTAATAACCTTGTATAAGATAATTAGCTTCTGTTGCGAACCTTCCTGACACAGCCAAATTGATTCATTTCTTTGCTACTGTAGTTTTTCTGCTCTTCATCTATGACTATGACTATGCTCAATCACCTTTCCCCATAATTTCTTAGTGTAGTTCATAAGTTTTTTCTCTGTAATTTACGCGATAATAATATCTCCCACATATATAGGAACCAAAAAGTTCCCCATCCACCCATCTTGCATTTTCTTAGATCTCAAAATCTATTAAATAGCTTAGTGAGCCAAATGATAACTTGTTCTCTTACACATTTCCAAACTTCAATATAAATATATTAGGACCAACAACTTTATCATTATCCATACACTTTAAGAAATTATTTCACATGTCCAAATGATACCTCGTTTCCCTACACATTGATATCT